TGAACTGCAATCATGAGACCATGAAATTGCAACTTTCAACAAATAAAATGAACGATACCTGTCATTAGTTCACTTAGTTCATAAGTAGTTTTTAGGCTAGTGAGTGGCTTACTCTTACTCTTTATGATTTCAATTGGTAGAGCTGATTTCATTAGCTCGAGGCTTATTTCTATCTTTTCTTATTTCACTTTATAAAGCTACTTTTCGTCGTGTTCTCGCTAGTATTTAAGAAGCGGAGCTACGCGTCTGTGTTTCACATTTGATTTTCGATATTGTTCAAAGTTAGTAGTTTTTTAAACCAAAAACTATTCAAGACCAACCAATTGAAGGGCTGCTTTGCCCTGACATATGAGCAGTCTTTTATCCTTAAAAGTCGGTTGAAACTAAAGCACGAGACATCTGATTCAAGTCTGTACAAACTTAGGCATATATCAGAAACGAAGTTCAATTATCATGGCTTATAATATCAATCATTTTTATTGTAATTACGCTTGCGATTAGCGAGCGTTATCAAACCGAAATAGAGATTGGTTTTCGGGTTGACGATTCGTTTAACAGAATCAGTTGTATCTTGGCTCAAACTTAGCCTGGAGGTAACGAATATGCCTGGGACAGCAAAAGTCCTGGGTTCGAAACTGACCAGGACCTGTTTTTGTTCTTCCGGTTTTTTTGTTTCAATTAAAATTGTCTGCTTATCTTTTGTAGGCTGACCAGTCACTTTTTGGAATTGTTTTTTGCTGCGCATATATTTTTTTTAATTTTGCTTTTAGTTTTTGATTTACTCTTACAGTTTTTATTTTTACTTGTGGCGGCCCTAAATGTTTCGGCCTATTTGTTGTGGTCCTGATGACCTAATGTTGGATTGTTTCACGTTTCAAGTTGGTAGTATGTTCATCAATCGGTTTGTTGAAATTTCTCTATGTTTTCCACCTTGATTAGAAAAAATTTCATTTTTCTCAAAAACCTTTTCTGATTTTTAAAAAAGGGGTATTAATTGAGAGACCGCGTACTCCCTTGTTTGCGTGCATGCTCCCCTAGAGTCTCTTTTTTTAGTTTACCACTCTGTCTACAGCGTTCGAAAAAGTCTGTGGAGAAAATGCTAAACATGGTTTCGATTTTTTAAATTGTCTTTCTCATAAACTATCACAAATTTTAAATTTTGATTTCAGAGTTTAGAACGGATTTGAAACACAACCTGTATAAGCAGCTACGCCCATAATTCTTACCCATAAAGCTATGGACCTCTGATTGGTAATTTTTTTAAATCGACCGTTTTCTTGAATCTTTTTGACTTTTCTCAAAAACTGCACTCTCAGATATGGTACTGCGGGTTCAATTGAGATAGCGAGTACTTAAAAACTCACCTAAATTAATGGTCACCACAACGTTTTTACCTGAAAAATTATCGCCTCCGGGAAAGTCAAATTTTTTTGACCGCTTTTTGAACTTTTTGATTGTTCTCAAAAACTACCTTGCTATATCTGAAATTTCGGTTCAACTCCAAGAACGGATTGCGGTAAGCTCATTCTTTTATGCGACTACGCCCAAGTTTTCCTGATATCAAAAATCATGGCTATCGGAAAAGTAAAAATTTTAATTTTTTGAACAGTTTTGACGAAAGTTTTTGAGTTTTCTCGGGAACTACACTACCAAATCTGAGATTTTGGGTTCAATCGAAAATACAGGTTGCGTGAATCCCACATGCAGAAGCGGCTACGCCCTATTTTTCATACAAAAAGCTATAATTCTCAGAAATGTCAAATTATTGGTTTTTTCACAGTTTTTGTACTTTTCTCGCAAAATATCCTGCTAAATCTGATATCATAGGTTCAATCGAAATAACAAGTTGTTGAAAGCTTACCTTTTTTAATTGACTTTACCCAGTTTTTTTTAAAGTTATTTCCTTCAAACAAAACAAAGTTTTCACACTTTGAAATTTTTTTGGAAATTTCTGACTGTACGCGAAAACTACCTTGCCAATTTTCAGGTTGTGTTGAAGCGAGAAACCCTGTTTTGCAAATTTTCTCTGCTTAATCGGCCATAACCTGCTTTTTTATTTCATCGATTTTGCATATATTTTGACCGTTTTTTGAACGTTTGACCGTTTTTTAGAAATTTGTTGAAATTTCTTGAAATTCACCCAATCAAATCTGAGATAAAACGTTCAATTGAAAGAACCGGGCCCGATAACTGTTCTTGCTGAAATGGCGACTTCTTAATTTTTTGTATAACAAAAGTTTTTTTTTGGAAAATTGTTTATCTCAACATTTTTGTTCTTCTCTTTTATTTTAGTAGAGAAACAAAGATAGGTTTTGGGCGAAGTCCAATTTTTCAAATCACATTTTTTGTGCCGCATCAATATAGAAAAATCATTCAATATCAAACACATACCTCCAGCTTTAGCTGGGCCAATAATTGTTTTTATCGAGACATGGACATTTTGGTTCACTTAGTCTTTTTCAATAAATGATTTCTTTTCGACTTATGTTTTTTCATGTTCCTGTTGTATAGCAAGTGTTGCGAAGCTCCGTTTTGCCTTTGTGTGCATTTGTTTTGTTCAAAAAGGGCTCGTTGAATTGTTCGAAATACGCGAAATCCATAAAGAAATGATTTCCATAAAGATGTCTTAATATTGTGATCCAAGGGGTAAATTGTTAAGCTATAATGATAGAAAAGTTTTTATATTTCAGCGTTGTCTCAAAAATTAACTTGCTCGATACAATTTTTTCACTGATAAGTTTTTTTTAAATCCGAGAAATTGCTTACGAGTTTTCAAGTTTTGCCTTTGTTGTATCTGTTTGCGTTTATGGGATTTTCAATGTATTCAGGCCTTAGGACGAAGATTTGGTGGCTTACAGGAAGCACGAGGAAATGTCTCGTTTGATTTCTAAAATTTCTCGATGCAGAATTTTGCTGTTGCTCATCTACTAAATAAATCAATAGGATGTTCCGATGTACTAAGAAGAATCTTTGAGATTGAAAAACAGTCTTGGTACAATGAAGTTGCAAATTACAACCGATGAAATGAACGATTTTTGTCTTCATGTTTTTCTTCTTTATGATTATGCTATTTTTTCAGTAATTATTTGCGGTTCATGGCTGAAATGTTGACGTATGATCAATCAAACTTTTAAAAGGTTGTATTTTGATCGAAATTAGCAAATTTTGTTCATAAGTAGTTTTTAGGCCAATGATTAGTGATTAGTTTTTATTTGAAAAGTTCAAACACCGCGTGGTTTTTACCGGAAAATTTTGTCATAAAAAAGCTTGCTGACAAGTTTTGGTTTATTAGCCAAAAAGTTGGCTGAAAAACAAAGTCTTTCTATTTTTGGTTTATGGAGATTGTTTTTTAACAATTTTTTCAATATATGTCATTTTTTCAGAAGAGAACGTTCGTTAATGAGCAAAAGCCCAGAGAAAAAAATCCTTCTTCCTTTACTCATTCATCGCCAATTTTTAGGTTTTTGCTAGTTTGACTTTTTGCGGGTTATACCACTTTTCTTTGGAACAAAACAAGTTTTTTTATGATTGATTTGTGGCATTTTTTTCATGTTTACTAAGAAACCCAAATTTCGAAAAAACTGAATTTGAACTAGCTGCTAAATGTGTTCAAATTTGTTACAAATTGTTAATATTTGAGATTTCACAATTTTTTAACCTTTTTCAAATTGAGCTAAAATTTGACGAATTTTTTTATAAAGCGTTTTCAATGTCGCCCAGTATAATAGTCTCTCTGAAAGTATCAATTTTAATTTGAAGTCTTCAATAATTTTTTCTGGGCCTAAAAATGCCAGTTTTCACCATTTTTAGTAATTTTTCTATCGGAGTAAACACGTTTTAAACAAGCAGAAAAAAAATTGATGACCATTCAATGTGAAAACGTTTAATCAAGAAAATTGCCTTGTTCGGAATGACAGTTTTGCTGATCTCTGTTGTTTGTTACATTATCGCATTGTTGGAAAACTTATTACAAAAATCGGACTCGGAAAAACACTAACAAGTGCTTTAAATAAAAAATTGAGTTTCAAACATGGTATTTCCGATCATTTAATTTTGGTCGATGTTAAATGTTTTTCAAATTCCAAATAGATAATTTATAAAACTGTAGCTGAAAAAAAAACTATTTAGAGAGTAAAATGAAAATATGCGTTTAAATTTATCAAATAGTGTGTTAAGTTGTTTATTGTCACAAAAGATCCTTAAACTTTAGCGTTTCACTTAAAAATTGGCAACATTTTGTGCACGTAATAAAACATTGTCTGAGAAACAATGTAAAGCAATAACAATTGACCAGAGAATTTATCAAAAAAGGTTTCAAGGACTTTGCCAAACCAGTTTTTTTTGTCTGAAAAGGCTAGTTTTTGCCATCTTAACTATTTTCTTCCAACTTCGTTAAACTCTTAGGACTAGTTGAATTAAGTATAATATTCAAACTTAATAATTCCATTTTCTCGCTGAGAATGTTTCACATCACATGAACATTCGTTTCTTCGCCTAATGAAGAAAGAGTTCACTCTCATGCAATAATTATTGCAGATTGTGAAACAGAATTTTCAGACAAGGAATAAACTGGTCCTTTAAACGTCCCTGAGAACAATTTTTGATAATTTCATAGAGGGTAGCTCTGATCATTTGCTCTTTGTCTTGGTAAAAACTTCATTCAAGTTGTTGTAATTTTTGTCCCCTTTTTGCTTGTTAACAGGCATTCTACTGAGTAAAAACCCAAAAATTGAGTTCAGTTTTGTTCACTGGTGTAAAATTAATCTGCTTATTTTATCAACTTTTTAGCGGAATTATTTTTAGAGCCTTAAAAAATCAGCATGGCAAAGTTCGTTAATCGAAAAACCATTAAAATTTCCAAATCGACCCTTGACTTGCGTTTAATTAATTTGTCCACTTTTACTCAACTAGTTCAAATCAGAAGATAACTGAGAAAAACAATCAAAACTAGTCAAATGTAGAAGAAGTCAGCAAAGTCATCGAAGAAAGAGCACTCATAAATGAAGGAAAACGACCAACAATTTGAGCAGAACAATACTGCAGAAGGTAAAGCTTAAGGTTTATTAACTATGTAAAGGGCGTGAAATTACATGTGGAACCTGATCTAAACTACATTTTATGATTGGATAAATTAGATATTTTACCAATGTAAAGTATTTAATATTAACCAATCATGATCCATCTAACTAACAACCCACTTATTTGTAAGTGCTGAAGTTACTTGTAATTTCAGCACCAGAGAGATTTGAATTTAACTTAGAAATTAGTTGGACTCTCCCGAGCACTTCAGCAGCCGCAATAAACCAGTATACCCAAGATCTATTGAGCCTAGCAGAGACTAGTTAAACAACCTGAGACTAGATAGTATAAGAGTAAGATTAGGATCGGTATTAGACTAAGAAGTTGCACGAATCTATCCGGCCGAAAATAAGATAGCGTGACGAGCAGACGGTGTACCCTATCCGAAATTACTCTATGAGTTAACCAACTCGGTCCTAACTCATCTGGTGCGACCATAAGTCTCGAACAAGACCTTAATAGCTTAGAATTAACCAAAATAGATTAGAAATTAGACAAAAACATTTACAAAATGTTATACGACAATAATTTAATCGAAATGTCTCTACGACTCAATAGATCAGAGCCAATATTCCGAACCATAACAGAACTACCCGGAATTGGAAGAAGACCTCGAACCAGAGACGACATACGACAAAGTAGAAACTTGCCATATAGCTATATGATAGTTAGGCAATAACCAGAACAAACTTTTATATTTAGAATACTACTGGCAATGAATTTAGATTTTCATTTGCAAACATAAAACCTTGAAGTTAATCTTCAAAATCATTTCAGGCGCTAAACAAAATTATTAATATACAATAACGATTGATAAAAAGATCTAAGATCGTTTTCCTAAAACTCTGCAGTAATATACAAAACATGTTTGAAAAATTTTTATTGAAAAATAAAAAATAAAAATTAGTAGCATGACAATAAATGGTTAGTAATCATAAATCATCCTGTTGTTCCAGCTCCATCATCTAAAACATAACAGCAATCATAAACCCACTAACATCATCAAAACACTAAATCTTTCCTTTACACACATTTAAAAATTTATTAAAACTTAAATTCACTTAATTTTAAAACCAGATCATCAAGGCTTATCCTTGGATCTTAAATCATTTTCTACTTAATTAAATTTCAAATTTGATCATCAAGGCTTATCCTTGGATCAAACAGAACAACTTTGTTCTCCCCCACCCACTTAATTAGTGTCTAACGACCTCAAACGTCGATTCACTACCCAACCCTTTCTAAAGACCTAAGACTAATAGAAATTTTTAAACAAAACTAATCATTCAAATTAGGATAAACAGTGAAGAACTTCGGTTATTCATCCTTCACTTGACCCCCCCTCTTACCAGACCCAGGATAAATCTTAGACTTAGTAAGTTTAAAATAGTATCTAACGAACTACTCGCGTTCTAATTATACCTGAACCTTGTGGATCGATTTACTATTCTCCAACCCTTGAACACAATCACTACCCCTAAGTAAGATTAAGTAAGTTAACACCTTAACTTATACTAGCCACGAGAAAGTAAAAAATCATTCTTCGGAATCGATATACTTTTCTCTCCAACCCTGAACAAATAGACCCAGGTTAAGCTAACCAAAAAATCGTAAGAACTAACAGTTTAAGAAAATAGAAACCATTTAACAACCCTTTGCATCCGTCATTCTAAACCTTATGTCATTTAAAAACCTAGGAAATAAACAAACAATCGTTTTACACAATTGTGAAATAGATAACAAAAAATACGACCTTGTAATCACACCTCATACACAAACAGTTGGATACATTCGAACAAAACGACAAACACTAAAAAGAAAAATAATAACGAAACAAAGACAAATAACACGAAAAAGATTTTCAAAAAACCGAAACGCATTTTCAGAATCAGAAACCAACAGTTTAGACGAACTTTACAAACTAAAAGAATCAATAGATAAAAATTGCCCACTTCACGATCAATTATATTTCTCTGACTCAGAAACAACTTCAAATTCATCAAAAAGAGGAAAAAGAAGAATAAAAAAGCAGTATAAACACAAACCAGTACATTTATACAATTGGAATCAACCAATTAGACACATTGATAATTACATATTAACAGTCATCGAACGAAAAAATGAGCTCAACGCACACCCCAGGTGAAGAAAGTCCAGATGATGATGAAATCTTTCCTTTTATCGTAGATGCAACCACTGATAGAGGACAGCATATATTTTGCAAAAATTTACTATTAAATTTATTTGAACCCGGAATCAGTCCATGTAAAACAGAGTTCCCAGATGTAAAAATCAAAAGACAAATCATAGACCACTACTTAAAAGATATATGCAACATAACACAACAGTATGGAATCTACTCCATAGAATTCACCTCACCAAACCATAATAATAGAAAATATACAATTCAAACAGACGATCTTGATTTAGAATTTTCAAAAGTTTTTTCAGAATATATAAAAAGCATCCAATATCATAACTCACAAAGAGCAAACTCCATATTCACCAATGAAGTTTTCGCAATAATATATAGTTATATTTCGATATTAGAAAACGAAATCCCAATAACAAATGTCTCACCGACAGAAACATCTAAACATTTGAAAGTACGACATGAAATCACACTACTCTCTAGTTATTTAAACATCATTAAAGAAAATTTCACGAAAGACGACGTTTCACAACATACAAAACACGATCTACAAAAAATTTTGGCATGGTTCATAATAGATTATTTCACACACAATATTGATTTAATTGCACAAGCAAGAAAAAATTTTAGACCCCAAAACTCGAACGATGATACCGCTATCACAGAACAATCAGATTATGTTTGGGACCCCGAATGGTCTCATCCCGCATTTATAAGCTTCCCACAATCAATCTCAAGTCAAGCAATAAGTACGATATCTTACATAAGAGATTATGTAAAAGTAATACCATTAACCATTGATGCAACACCATTAAACTATAATACATTTTTGCCCGATACACAAAATAATAGTTTAAACTCTACAGTTATACACAATGAAAACCTCAATGGAACTAGGAATCTTACTCAACAAGATATCCAGACACCATCACACTTCATAAATGAAGAAATTGTACACACAAAAACTACACAACAAAGTATTTCACCAATACGCCCAAATTTAACAACACCAAGAAATACAAATCCTTCACAAACACAGGTAACCTTACAATCAACCGTTAAACCTTCGGTTGCCCCTAAATACTCACATATGGATTACCAAACATACAGACCCATGACAGTACCATCAAAAACACACAAAACATTCACTAGAAACAACTTTGCAGACCATAATTATAATTATACACATCCATCAAAAACATATAACCAAACACAAAGAAATTTTAACCAATATACAAGATCTCGAAATTGGGATAACCCAATGACTCAACCTAATTCAATAAATTTCCAAACAAATCCTCCACAGGATCACAGTGAAAATTACCCATTTTTTCAACAAAATAAAAATAAAAAACAGACATCTTACCAAATGGATTATTTATCCTCAGATGATGATTTCTTACAACCAGATATATTTGCACCAAATACTCAAGAATATCGTAGACAAGGAATACAGAGAACACGTACAAATCATAGAAATTTTTCTCCACAACCAATAGATGCACAACATCAACAACCAATTCAACAACAAAATCTAATTAATACACAATCTTTTCAACCAATTCAACAACAAAATCCAATGACTGCACACTCGTATCAAGCATCACAAATGCAAAATGAAATACCACTCCCATATTATCTCCAACAACATGAAATAACAAGAAACCAACTTTCGAATTTTTCTCAAATGCCAAATGCAGCAGAATCATTACAAATGACAATGAATCCATACCTTATGGGTGGATCATCAATAACATCAAACAAACCTTTAATGGTTTTCACAGGAACAGACCCTGAATACTCTGTAGAAGATTATTTAAATGCAGTAACAGCAAACCTGATTTTAAATATTGGACCTGAACCAATTAATACGCCACTACATCAAAACTGGATACATCGACGCACAGCGTTAATACAAACAACCTTAGATGGCGCAGCCCAAAAATGGTTTTCAGTACTACCTCTAGAAATAAAATCAAACTGGAAAAGGTTTACACAAGAATTTTCAAAAATGTTTGACTCCGAAAGAAACAAACAACAACAAAGAGTTTTATGTAATGAAATTCGCAGATTACCAAACGAAACCATCAAGCAAATAGCAGTACGAATCGAAACACTAGTTCGAAAAGCATATTCATTAAATACACATGACTATAAAAACACAAAGATGACAGAAATCTTAATGATGACCTTAACACCACAATTAAGAAAAATAGCAATAAAAAAGAGAGCATCCCATCCTTCTTCAATTCGAGAACCCGATTTAGATTTTCGAAAACTAGTAGACAAATTAGAACAAGCAGAAATCACGATGAAACTAGAAGAAACGGAAAATCTGAAACTACAATACGTTAACAGAATTGAAACGACTCCCACTAATATTAATAATATACAGGAATCAGAGACAGACCTCGTTGAAAAAATCACTGAAATACTCAATATTTATGAAAAGAACCCAAACTTCAAAGGCAAACCATCTTTCAAAAAATGGTGTAATTATTGCCGACGATACGGACATAGTATTTCCGAATGTAGACAAAAACAGCAAGACAATCAAAATAAACCTCAAAAATATAAAGAACCAAATAAATCATTCTATCAATACATGAAAAAAGATCAAAATCTACCGAACAAAACCGTCTACAGCAACAACAGTTCAGGAAAACCACTCCCGAACAATACAAATTATACAAGAAATCAATCACCATATAACTCAAGTTATAGAGGAAGATCACCAGAACGAAGAAACACGAATAATTCATCACAAAATCACTACAATAGACCAAATAGTCGAAATAACTACTCCAGATCAAAT